CTGGATTTGACTTCTTCCAAACTCCTGCTAATATAGATATTTTGATTCCTCTCTATGAATCACTATCGTTGTTAATGACATCTAGAATGGAGAATCCTTTCTGGAAGGTTTTCAGTTGACTTTTCCCAGATCTATCAGAGAAACCACTGTCTAAGGCAGTTATAGCCATATGAAAAAAAATTTTTTAAAGGCTTTTGCCATAGGACATGTGTGCTCACCAGAGAAGAGACAGAGAAGGAAAGTGAGAAAACAAGTTTCTAGCTGCCCCCCAGGAAAATAGCCGTGCTGCAATCCCTTCTCCTCCACTCTCCTCCTGAGATTTTAGGCATGGATGCACATGTGCCTGGCATGATTTTTTAAGCTGCCATGTATGGACCTGGAACTGTTTTTGGCCATGTGGGATTCAGCACCTTAACAATTATGCCACCTGCTGGACCCAAATATATTTCTTAAGTATAATCAAAATGGCAATTCTACACAAATTAATCTACATATTTAATGCAATCCCAGTCAAAGTACCAGGAACATTCTTCAAAGATCTAAAAACAAAAATCATAGAATTTGTCTGGAAAAATAAAAGACTTCATATTGCCAAAGCAATTCTGTGCAAGAACAGTGGAGTGGGTGACATCACACTCCCTGATCCCAAAATACACTATAAAGCTGAGATAATCAAAACGGCATGGTATTGGCACATAAACAGACATGTAGACCAATGGAAAGAACAGAGATCCCAGAAATAAACCCCAAAACATACAAACAACTGATTTTTGACAAAGGATACCAGTCAATCTAATGGGAAAAGGAAAACGTCTTTAGCAAATGGTGCTGAAAGAAACTGGATATCTACCTGCAAAAAGATGAATCTGAACCCCTACCTCTCACCATTGACAAAAATCAACTCAAAGTGAATCAAAGATCTAAATCTAAGACCTCAAACTATGAAACTACTGCTGGAAAATAGTGGGGAATCTGGGTGGATACCAGTCAATCTAATGGGAAAAGGAAAACGTCTTTAGCAAATGGTGCTGAAAGAAACTGGATATCTACCTGCAAAAAGATGAATCTGAACCCCTACCTCTCACCATTGACAAAAATCAACTCAAAGTGAATCAAAGATCTAAATCTAAGACCTCAAACTATGAAACTACTGCTGGAAAATAGTGGGGAATCTGGGTGACATTGGGGTAGACAAAGACTTCTTAAATAAGACCCCCAATGCACAGTCAATAATCTTAAAAATAGACAAGTGGGATTACTCAGATTAAGAAGTTTCTGCATGGCAAAGGACACAGTAATTAGTGTGAATCAACAGCCCTTGGAATGAGAAAATATTTTTGTAAACTATGCTTCAGATAAGGCACTGATAACCAGAGTACATAGGGAACTCAAGTGGCTTACCCTCCAAAAAATGATCAATCCAATCTAAAGATGCTCAACATCCCTCATGATAAGGGAGATACAGATCAAAACCACAATGAGATACCACCTAACCCCAGTCAGCATGAGTTAGATTTTTTTTAAAAAATGATAAGTGCTGGCAGGGATGTGGTGGAAGGGGAACTCTCTACACTACTGGTGGGAATATAAATTGGTCCAGCCACTGTGGAGAACAATATGGAGATTCCTCAAAGATCTACAAATAGAACTGCTATATGATGCAACAATCCCACTCCTTGGTATCTACCCAAAAGACAGAATAATGCTGTTGGAAAAGTGCTTGCACATCTATATTTATTGCGGCATTATTCACAATCAGTAAGACACGAACCAACCCAAATGTCCATGAACAGAAGAATAGATTGAAAAAGTGTGGCACATATACGCTATGAAATACTACTCAGCCATAGAAAACAAGACCCTGGCTTTTGACAGAAAGTAGATGAATACGGGAGATTTACTGCTGAGTGAAGCAAGCCAGGCTATGAAGGAGAGACACTGTATGTCTCCACTTAATATATACCAAGTGCCCACACTCTATGGCCAAAACTGAAATACTGAAAGATATAGAAACATAGAAAATGGTTATAGATACCAGATACAGTGTGGGATGAGGGTGGGAGAAGGAGGAGAGTCTAAGAAAAGACATTAAGAAGAAAAATAGAGAGGCAAGAGATTTATGGGACAAAGAAACGGGTTATTATCTGTTGATGATAATGTGTATAGTATCCTGAACTGGACTGGTGAGAAATGTATTCATGTTGCTAAGTGATGTATATAATTGAATGTATAAAATAAATTAAAATAAAATATATTTTAAAATAATAATAATAATAAATGTATTCACAACTTAAAACCCAGAAATGTCACTCCAATATACATAGACTTGTGCAGAAATGCTCATAGTAGCACCACTCACAATAACCCAAACTAATAACCAAAATGCCATAGCATTCAAATGAATAAATAAACTGTGGCTTATTCACACAAGAAAAAAAAAGTAAATAATACAACTTGAAAATTAAAATTACTCCTTGTTCTATGGGCTAAAGAATAGATGTTGTATTAGTAAGCACAAAGAACATTAATCTCCTTATACATCTTCATCAGAGCCCTTGGGTGACCAGGTGCATTGTTATTAACCAGTACTATTTTGAAAGGAATCTCTTTTTTCTAAGAAGTAGGTCTCAATAGTGGGCTTTAAATGTTCAGTAAATCTTGTGATCAACAGATGTGCTATCATTCATGCTTTGTCATTCCAGTTATAAAGCAAAGTAGATTTGGCATAATTCTTAAGGATCCTAGGATTTTTGTAGCAAATGAACATTAACTTTAACTTAGCAGCAGCTGCATTAACTTCTAACAAGAGAGTCAGCCTGTCCTTTGAAGTTTTTGAAGCCACTCATTGACTTCTCTATATATGAAAGTCCAAGATGGCATCTTCTTCCAATATAAAACAATAATGTTTACATAGAAAATCTGCTGGTTAGTGGAGTTACCCTCATTGGTTGTCTTAGATAGACCTAGATAATGCGCTGTAGGATCTACATCACCAACTGCTGCTTCACCGTGCACTTCCATGTTGCAAAGAGGGTTCTTTCCTTAAACCTCATGAACCAACCTTTGTAACTCTGAACATTTCCTCTGCAGCTTCCTCATCTCTCTCAGCCTTCACAGAACTGAAAAGAGAGGACCCTGTTCTACATTAGACTTCAGTGGCTTCCTCATCTCTTTCAGCTTTCACAGAATTGAAAAGTGAGCACACGTGCTGTTGGAAAACATGAGGCAAACAGATTTGCTCAAAGCAGGATTGCTGCAAACCTTCAATTTGTAAAACAAAATAAAAAAACTTTTTAAACACACAATATCTGCAAAGTGCAATATATGCCTGCATTTCATTCTCCGACATGACAGATTTTGCAAATGAAAGAGAATAATCACATGATATATTCTCAGAAACTGCAAATCACCAAGGCTTAAAAACAAGCAATTAAAATTCTAACCCTCAACATGAACTTCTGAGTTTAAATTATATTTAAAATTCTAAATTTGGAAAGAAAGAAGGAGTAACAGGGAGACCCTGCAATCCCAGAGATAGAAGGACCAAAAGACAGTCCCAAGCAGACACTCAGCTTGAGCTCATCAGCAAAGACCCCTGTCCAGCCTGCTGTGGGAGAGGAGGGGCCCTCCAGGCCATGCAGTGCCCTTGTCTACCACTTTACATTCTACCTGTCATTTCAACCTCCATCCACATTTGAAGCAGTAAGGTTTGGGTATACAAGAATTAAACACCTGAAAATCGGAGATTCTGGAGGAATTATTTCTCCATAACTCCTTTGACAGTAGAAAGAGAGAAATTTCCCTCTGAATACCTAAGTCCCAAGGTCCTACAGTAGATTCCACATTCCCACACACACAGTAGGAGGGAAATCAGATCTTACGTATATCATAGGAGCACACAGTTACCGAAACATATTCCACAGAAGTAGGAAGAAGTGAGTATATCACCAGATGACTAAAAATCAAAGCAGAGCCCAAAGAAATGGTGGAAAATATCAGGAAATACCTCCCTCTCAAAGAAACATCACTTCTCACCAACTATAGATAAAACTATATCTATATAAGATTCTTATAGGATCTTATTAGGATATATTAGGAATATCCAGTTATGAACAAAGGCATGATGTATACATAAACTGACAGTCATATTTAATTAAAATTCTAATTATGTCATTCTAATTATACTTTTTATATTTATATAATTAGATAATTATAGAATTCTATAATTATCTAATTATATAAATGTAGCACTGTTCTATAAAAAACACATAGTTTAATAATACTTTAGATACTTTTTATTCTTTTTTTTTCTTTTATAATTTATTTTTATTCAATTGTACATCTTTGTGGGACACAACATGGATTTTCAAAGCAATGCATGAAAAGTGTGATAATCAAAACAAAGATACCATACTTATCATTTTCAACAAAAAAAAAAATCACATTTGAGATGTATATATATAGCCAATGTCTTTTTCTCCACTCAGTTGTGGTATACCATTCCACACCCTATCTGTCCCATCTACCTGCATTTCTGTGAAAGTTTTTTTTCCTCAGGACCAGCAGTTAGCGTAATGGCTATGTCGCTGGACTCTCATGTAGCCGACTGCAGTTCGAGTCCTGGACCCGGTGGCTTAAACTCACGCCAGGCGCGTGTGCGTGCATGCGTGCCCAAGATCCCAAGAGGAGAATGGAGGAGAAGGGATTGCGGCGTGACCATCCTCCCTGGAGAGTAATTTCTTGCTTTCTCTCTCTCTCTCTCTGTCTTTCAGGAAAGCTTTTTTTTTTTTTTTCCTAATCCCTGCCTATCTTCCCACCTTCCGGCCCCCTACGCAGTCTCTGGAGGTACAGGTCTGTACTTCCTAATTATCTTCTGGCAATGAGAGGGATACATTCTGACATTAACTTCTATTCTTATAACCTTACAAAATAGCCACCTATAATCAGGAACTTAAAAGGTGAGCGGCAAAGTTAAAATGAATCATTAATAACATATTTACCGGTTTGATTCGAAGCTGACCACCCATCACCTCAAGAATGGCATGTCTTCTGGATACTCTCTTGTCTGTTATCTACAGGAGAAAAAAATTAAAATTTCAAACAACTATGTATTTAAAAGGAAAAAAAGGGGGGGGGCAAACACAACCCTCAGCAGTGTTTCTGAAATCAGTAGGGTAGGTATCATTCATTCAACAACTATATACTACAAACTCTGTCCTCACTTAGCAGATAAGGAAACAACTCAGAGATTAAGAGACATGCTCAAAGTCATGGAAAAGTAAAGGAAATGATGGAGCCAAGAGTCACACTTAGAATCGAACAGATCTCAAAGCTTACATGATAGTTTCCATTCATAACAGATGTCTAGTAGGGATTACGACCAATAACATTTATAACATGAGGGAGAAGTCTATATAACATATACTTATTAGGAAACATTCCAAATTTAAGAAATATATAATATAGCATAATACAAAGGTTTTAAAAAGAGGTAGTTTGGGGTCTAGCTGTAGTAGTATATACTGAATGCTGTTGTTTGTCAGGCCGAGGCCTCAAGGCACTGGTTCAATTCCCAGACCATCCTAAAAAGCTGGGCAGAGTGGCATGCACTTACAGTGTCAGCTGAGGTAGAAAGATCAAGTGCTCAGGACCAGCAGGTGGTGCAGTGGTTAAGATGCTGGTCATTCCCACATGGCTGACCATGGTTCAAGTCCTGGACCTGGCTCACTTTCTCCCTCTCGCTCTCTGTGTGTATGTGTGTGTGTATGTATGTGTGTGTGTGTGTGTCTGGTCAAATTAAAATAAAATGAATAATAAAATTAAGTAAAAATAATTCTTTAAAAAAATACATAAAACAATAGAAGGACTCAAGGCTGGCCTAGGCAATACAGCAAGACCCCAACTGAAAGAGCCACGCATACCAGAAGGTACCAGGGAAAGGATCTGGGCTTTCATGTCAGACAGACCCAAATCAGGCAGACGTGCATGTAAGTATTGGGAGAATCAGTGGTAGTTAAGAGAACACAAATGCAGGAGGAAGAATCACAAAAACCAAATGTTTACAGTAAAGACGAGACTAACATATGTTTAAATATTTTGTTGTTTTTGGTTTAGTTTGGTTTTTAGTTTTTTGCTATAGAGCATGTGCACTCACCAAGAGACAGGCAGAAAGAGAGAGAGAGAAGGAAAGTGAGAAATTACCACCACCACCATCCCCTGTACCCAAGGGCATTACCTTGTCACAATCCACTCTCCATTTTTCTCTTGGGATTTTGGGAGCACACACACACACGCCCAGCTTGTTTTTTAAGCTGCCAGGTCCAGAACTCAAACTACACTGTCAGCCATGTTGGATCCAGCTGCCCTTACCACGCCAACTAGCTAGCCCAACATATATTTTCTTCCTGTTTTGAGCCAACAAGTATTCTACTTATGTTCACAATCATTTCAGCACACCGAAGTTCAAAAGTTGTTTGCACTTTAAATGCTGAAAAATGCTAATCAAGCCTTCCTCCCCTTTGCTCTAAACACAATAGTTAAGATTACTATTTTATTTGTGGCTGATAGAAAATGAAACATTTTAAGCTCCAACTTCACTTAACAAAATAATTATCTGACCCACCTGTTGGTTACATTGTTATCTACCACTTGAACCCTGGCATTATCCAGATCAGGACCACTAATATCAGTGAAAGCAGACTATAATTCAATTAAACCCTTTAGCTCTGCAAAATATTACAAAAAATGTGAAACTGCCCAGAATCAGTACTTATTTTTTGTAACCAGATAGCAGTTCCACTCTTAAGGCTCTAACCATAAACAAATAGTGGCAATGAACATCACAGCAGATTGAATATCATACAAATGAATTTTCCACAAAACCAATTAATATTTAGAACATTTCCCCAAATAAAACATCTTAAAGATAATTTGTTAAAAATGTATTATTAGTGGGACCAGCAGTTGGCGTAATGGCTATGTTGCTGGACTTCCATGTAGTCGACCGTGGTTCGAGTCCCAGACGCGGTGGCTTAAATTCATGCCAGGTGTATGTGCATGCATGCGTGACATCCCGAGAGGAGAATGGAGGAGAAGGGATTACAGCATGGCCATCCCCCCTGGGGGGGGGGATGATTTCTCTCTTTCTGTCTCTCTGCCTCTCTCTTTCTGGTGAGTGCACATGCCCTATAGCAAAAAACTCTCAGAAAAAAAAATATTATTAGCCACAAATGACTATTTCAGAAAAATAAATATATGTTAATAATATTCTATCCAAAAAAAGGGGATAGAAATTTAAAGATTTAGGATCCAGCAGGTGACACAGTGTTAAGGCACTGAATTCCTACATGGCCAACCACAGTTTGAGTCCTGAACCTGGCAGATTGAAAATCACAACAAATAAGTAGATAGATAAAGAGATGTTTTTAAAATTTTTTAACTTATTCCTTTATTTTTCACAGAATGTACCTAAGTACAAGACAACAGCAGTTATCTGATAACTCACTTTATCACTTGCACAGAACTTTCACTTAAATGCTGAGAATCACCCTAACACAGCCATAGCTGTTATTCATATCTTACACATTTAGAAATTAAAAGTCTAGAAAATTTAGGCAACTTTGGCACGTCACCCTCTGAAAAAGCAGTACTCCAAATCCACACTCAGATTAATAAAAATAAATAATGTATGTGAGAAAAATATACATATGTGACTACACTGACATGTAATGACTCAAAAGTAATTTCAATAAATGCAAATTATTCTGTCTTTGAGATTAAGAAAGTTCTATTTCTAATCTGGGTACTAAAATCTCATTGTTATTTCAATAATGCAAATCCATTTTTTAACCACAAATAATAAAGTGTCAAATATGAAACTATGACATACAGTGATGGTTCCTGCAACAAAACATCTTAGGTTCTTTTCATTTTTAAACTGTTTTTGCATGAAGCAATAATGGACTTTTCCTATCACAGTCTTTATTTGAAGCAGGCTTCATGGACATTGTGAAGAAAAAGAAATTTTAAATAATATGAAAGTACAATGTGACCTCTAGTGGACACATGATTCCACAGCAGTGTAATTGCATTACAAATTGTGCATCTCTAACAGAGTAACAGAAAGTGTTTTTAAAAAAGACTCTTTCAAATTAATATCATCCAGATATTGATGAAGTCCTTTTATACTAAATCTTCAAACAGTGAGTAAGCTACAAAATAACTATTTATGCATTCTCAATGAGAAGCTCAATAGCTCAGTTCATTACCATTATAACATTTTAATTTCAGGATTGGGTTGTGAAGGGAGATGAGAGTGCGTGGATGACATACAGATTATCCTAATGGAAATTAGGATATCCTAAAGACCTAATGGCCTGGTTTATATAACAGCCTGTCACTGCTTTATGCAGAGTGAATATCTAATACATTTTTATTAATGAAATATCGACTGTAATAACAATTGTTCATCAAGACTAAGGCATGTTCTATACTTACCAGTTATCTTTTTTACTCTTTACATACCCCGTGGGGAAGATATTTCTATCTTTATTTTATAGGTAAGAAAATGGAATGAACTCCTGTTATACAATCAATAAACTGTGGGACCAAGACTTGAACCCAAGGAATCCAATTCCAGAGACACCTTTGCTCACCATACTCTATGTTATATGATATTGCCTCCCTCAATATCATTAAATAAAACCTAAAGTAAAACCTCATTTCTTTTTCCTTCTTTTTTTGGAGAGGTTTTTGCTATAGGGCGCGTGCGCCCGCCAGAGAGAGACATAGAGACGGAAAGCGAGAAATCACCCCCCGGGGGGATGGTCATGCCGCAATCCCTTCTCTTCCATTCTCCTCTCGGGATCTTGGGCACGCACGCACACGCGCCCAGGTCTGGGACGTGAACCACGGTCGACTACGTGGGAGTCCAGCGACATAGCCATTATGCTAACTGCTGGTTCCCAAATCTCATTTCTTCAGATACTTATCCAGTTTGGGGCAACACTATACCACAGTGTTGTTAAGCACTTTGCATCGGCAGCCAGATCCCACGTGGCCAACATGGTTTGAATGCAGGTCCCAGTGGACTGAAAAACGTACCAGGTACATGTGCGTGCGTGCCCAAAATCCCAAGAGGAGAACGAAGGAGAAGGGATTATGGCATGGCCATCCCCCCTGGGGGGTTATTTCTTGTTTTCTGTCTCTTTGTCTCTGTCTGTCTCTCTAGCGAGCACAAACGCCCTATAGCAAAAAAAAAAAAAAACCTCCCAAATAAATAAATAAATAAAATCTAATACTGCAACACAAACCTCAATTGAGTAAAAGCAGAAGTTACTGGATCCTGAAGTAGAACTGAAGCATACCTTTTATTTCATTTTTGCCTATGTATAATACTTACTGATAAAACAACACATTAATTTTTCTTAAAATGTTTTCCTAGAGAACTTTCTGAACATCATAGACAGGTATAATACATGTCATGAACTCAATGTTCCTATTTAGCCTGGTTATTACAAACATAAGAACAGAGACTAGGCAAGATCTATTTGTTCTTTTAGTATAAACTACATCACACACCAAAGCCTAAGATAAAAATTATGTAACTTTACAGCGTTCTCTCACAACATTATCTGGCTTGCTCTATCAATAACAGACCAAAAAAAGAAAAAAGGCAATTCTAATTTTCTTAGTAGAGAAAAGCTGAAATCATCTAGCATGGGATTTGAGCTAGTATTGTGGGGAAAATGCATAAACCTAAAGAATCTATTTTAGGTATAATTTGCCTAAGTTCCCTCCTCACATTTTGGGGTTTTGGGCTATTCTTTTAGGTTTACTTGTGTATTTCATGAAAAAGAAACACAGATAGTACCCTCTTTAGGTCTGTTCACACAGCAATCCCCCTTCCAGCCTCCTAGCCAGCCAGCCAACCAGCCAGTCTCACGGGCACATACAGGTGCACTCAGCATGGCCAGGCTGACCCAAGATTTGAGAGCTATCCAGCGTCAGGTCCAGCATGCACTCCACTCAGTCACCACACTGACACTGTACCGTAACATTGGATGAGAAGTCAGTCTTATTCCCTGCCACGGTTTGAATATGTCCCCCAGAGTTCATGGGTTATAATCTCCAGTGCAGTAGTTGAGAGATGGGACCTTTAAGAGGCAACTGGGTCATGAAGACTCTGCCCTTACGGATTAATGCCATTACTACAGGAGAGGGTTAGTCATCATGGAAGTAGGTTTCTGATAAAAGGGTAACATTGGCTCTCTTCTCTCTCTCATGTGTGTTCATTGATCTTCTGCTTACTCTTCTACCATGGGACAACATAGCAAGAAGAGAAAGGAGCTCATAGAGAAGTATAGAAGCATTTGAGAAGAAAGCATATTCAGGGTAATATTGGGTTGTCAGAAAAGTCAACCAAAAGTCAGAATGATGCATTTTTATACAGAAAAACAAACAAACAAGCAAAATACATCATGACTTTTCTGACAGCTCAATAATAAATAGGTAGTGGGAATTTGGGGGGTTTCATAAGTAATTCATTATAGATCCATTAGGATGGCCAAAATCCAAAACACTGACACCACCACCAAATGATGGCAAAAATGACAAGCAACAGGAACTGTCATTCATTGTAGTAGAAATACAAATAGTACAGTCAAGGTGGAAGACAGTTTAGCAATTTCATTCAAAACAAAACATACTCTTAATATATGATCCAGCAATCATGCTCCTGGGAATTCACCCAAATTAGTTGAAAACTGATGTCTACACAAAAACCTGCACAAGGATGTTTATGGCAACATTATCTATACTTGCCCAAACTTGGAAGCAATCAAGATGCCTTTCAGTAAGTGAATGGATACACTATGGTACATCCAGATAAGGGAATGTTACTAAAAAGAAATGAGCTATCAACCTATGAAAAGACTCAGGGAGACCTCAAAGGCCATTATTAAGTGAAGTCTGAAAAGGTTATGTACTGTATGATTCTAATTATATAACATTCTGGAAAAGGTGATATTATGAAGACTGTAAAAATGTTCAGACACTGCCAGGAGTTCAAGGGAGGGAGGGATAAGTAGGCGGAGCGCAGAGGGTTTTTACTGGAGTGAAACTATTCTGGGTGATTTTGCAATGGTGGACACATATCAAGATACATTTACCAAAACCCAGGGAATGTATAATACCACAAGTGAACCCTAATGTGAACCATGAACTGTGGAGGAAGGTTTGTCATGTCCAGTCATCAACTGTTTACAAATGTATCACTCTGGTATAAGATGCTGATAGCAGGGGTAGCTGTATATAAGTGGAAGCAGGGGACATATGGAAACTCTCTGCACTTTCCATTCAGTTTTGCCATGGATCTGAAATTGTTTAATAAAGTAAGATATTTTTAAAACCCAACTATATGTATGTATGTGTGTGTGTGTGTATATATATATAGACACGTATAATCCCTAATACATATATACATATATATGTTTGAAGAATTGAAGAATTATTTAACTTTATTTTATGTATTTATTTTAATTTGACCAGAGAGGGACAGATATATATATAGAGAGAAACTGAGAAAGCAAGTTGCTGGGTCCGGGACTCAAACGGTGGTCAGCCATGTGAGAGTCCAGTGCACTTAACTGCCACGCCACCTGCTGGCCTCCTAATATATATTTTTTAAAAGCACCGTTATAAAAGTTAAACAGGAGACTAGCAGGTGGCATGGTAGTTAACTCACTCAGTTCTCACATGGCCAATTGTGCAGTTAAAGTGCCAAACCTCCCAGTTTGAAAATCATGCCGGGTACATATGTGTGCATGCCCAAAATCCAACAAGAATAAAAGAGAAGGGACTGTGGCATGGCCACCCTCCCACGGGGTGATTTCTCTTTTTCCTTCTGTCTCTCTCTGTGAGCTCATGCACCCTATGGCAAAAAAATTCACAAACAAAAGTTAAACAGGAAAAAACAAAAACCAAATAGGCTCATCTCATATTAGCAAGCCTTTAACACAAAGAACAAACTAAAAAACTTTAAAGATCTACCATCTATTGCCATGTTTATAAAACAGAGACCTAAAATCCATCCATCTTTTAACAAGATCCACAGGACTCTGTACTGGTGGCATGATATCCTAAGGCAATCAACACTTATTAGTAATAAGACCTAATTACTAGATGCATATTATTAAGTTTCTAAACTAGATATTTAAAAGAAAACAAAAACCTCCAGGCAGTTCTTCAAATGTCTATACAGAATGATAAAATATGGAGAAAAGTAACACCATGTTATTAAAACATTTAAATAATCACTTGACCAGGGCCAGCCAGTGACACTGAGGTTAAGGCAGCTGGATTCCTCAGGACCAAATGCATAGGCCAACTCCCTGACCCAATGTCTTGAAAAACACACCAGGCACATGTGCATGTGTGCCTGTCTCTCACTGTCTCAGTTTCTCTCTGTCACTCTGTGAGCACACACCCCCATAACAATTTTAAACTCCCACAAAACTAATTCCTCAAGAAAAAAAAATAGTATTTGAGCTTCTACTTTCTCAAGAATCAATAACCTTACTATATATACATTACGTGTACACACACACATACCTCTTACTATACATGTGTACAGACACACATTACTATGTTACATGTTCATATACACACATACATTACTATACATAGACATGTTCACACACATACTCCTTTAAGACCCACTTCCATAAGGCAACCTTAAACTCCCACTCCTTTTCCTGCTCTCAGAAGGGCCCTAACTAATAACAATGGATCCATTAAGATACCAGAAGTTAACTAGAATTAACAGCCCACATTCTCTACTCCTAGTGTTAGTTTACTGACACAGGTCAGTCTCACCAGACCAAGAGGAAAATCCCTACAGGGCAGGGACCCATCCCTATTCATGCATGCTCCACAGTGCTAGGGTCTGCAAAATGTTCTGCACAAGTGGGCACTAAGTAAGAAATACTGTTACTGGAGGAAAAAAAAAAGGAGGTACTTAGGAAGAGATACACTATGAGGCTACAATATGCAAACTTTCTAACTCCTAAAACTCTCAATGGCAGTGGATAACATACTGATTAATGGCATTACACATCCAAAAGTTTACCCATGACTTTTAAGGGCTCAATTTTCTCCTTTGAACAATGTGGAGATGAGCACATAGCTCACAGGGTTTTTCGTTTTTTTGAGAAGTTTTTGCTACCTGGCACGTGTGCTCGCCAGAAAGACAGAGACGTCCTCTCGGGATCTTGGGCACGCACGCACACACGCCAGGTGTGCGTTTAAGCCACTGGTCTGGGACCCAAACCACAGTCGACTATGTGGGAGTCCAGCGACATAGCCATTATGCCAACTGCTGCCCCCCCCCTTTGCAGGGTTTTAAAAGGGGTAAAGAAATTAGCAAATGTAAAACCTCCTTTAATTAATGACTGGAACACTATACATACTACTTCAGGGTTAGCTACTGATATTAGTGAAAAAATTTACATAATCAAAGGAAGGCTCCACCAGTATCTCTGCAAAGGAGGCCAGAGCCTAAAAGAAATTTGCCTAGAAAAGGTCACAGGTTGGCAAACTTTCTAAATATAAAGGGCCATATACGACTGTAAATTATTTTAGGTTTTGCAGGTAAAAACACAATATCCTCAACTCCAGGAGCAACTATTCTCCCTAAAAAAACTAATTTGTTTTTCTTGCTTCTTTGCATTTACCACTTTATCAGAACCATTCGGGACCGCTCCAAAACAAGTTGAATTTGGCCCCCTGGTCCTCGTTTGTTGAGCGCTGGGTAAGATAGTACGGTCAGTGATTTTTTTTTTAAGGCAACATAAGGAAATGTTTTGAGAGCTGGTTAAAGTTGATTTAAAAATGCTCTGCCCCAAACTCCTAAAATCCAGACAGGCGGGACTGGCACGGTGTGGAAGCCGGCCAGGACGAGGAGTAGGGCCTCAGAAGCCGGCGAGACCTCGGCCGCCGAGCCGCCTCCACACTTACTCCCAGCTGTGGCCCGCGGCCGATCCCCGTCTCCCCCGGCGCC